CCTGCAGATGTTAGCCAGCTATGCTCGGAAGTGGCAGCAGATGAAGCCCATCCCCACCGTGGCCAGAGCCTACCCCTTGGTGGGACACGCGCTGCTGATGAAGCCGAACTCCAAGGGTAAGGGGCGCGCCCCGGCCCGGTGGGCTCCTGCCTGCAGAGCCCTAACCCGACTCCCTCCGGGAGCCACAGTGGGGTCCGCATCCGTTCCCCTCCCCTCCCCAAACCCCCCATTTTTCACCGGCCAGAACTTCAGAACTGGAGGCGCTGCTAGAATTTGTCTTATACTGGAGAGTGGAGTCCTGAATCCATCCAGTTTTCCTTTTGACACCTGTGGAAACTGCTCCTGGCCTTATGCTTTTTCTCTTCTCTTTTCTTTCTGTAGCTGCACAGATCTCAAAACCTTGGCTTTTCTTCAATCTTGGCCTGTAAGAGAAACTCACCCAGAAATGGCAAACACCCCCCAAAACTTAATGCTCTGCTCCTCTCCCACTCTGTAAAGTAAGAGGTTCTTTTGAGGTTTCTGTCATCACCCTGACTGAGACATCATATGATTTAACCACTACATACTTTCATTCCTTTTCGACTTTCACAGTTTAACCCTCTTCAGGAGGTTTCATAATAATAGTTAATAAACTATGCTGGAAAGGCCTTCATAAGGCACATTTTTATGGCAAGTTTTCAAAAGCCTCATTGAAGAGAGAATTTTGAAAGTTGAAAGAATCTTTTAAAAAGAGATAGACCTGTTTTGTTCATAGAAAAACAAATCACTTAAATTAGGATGCTCTCAAATGTACCTGGCGGTTTTAGTCTCCCATTAAGGTAAGTGAGCTACAGCACAGACACTCACTTTCGTGGCGTATAGACTGGATGCCCAGAGCCAAAAACAAAATGACATCTTAAAATGGACTCTGACCAAAATCCCACTCTTTTTCAGGATTATTATGAATAATTGTTTTACAGGCTGGGCATTACCTCCAAAGCTTGAAGGATTATTTTATTTTCATTGTTTCACCAGAAAAAAAAAATAACCTCTTCTTTTCAACTCTTCAAGAGTAAGATGAGGCCTCATGAGAAAGTGCTGACTGAACTATTATCTGGTAGATCAAATTCAAGTAAACATTTTCAACCAATTATCAGTGACTAATGGCACAAATAACCTGAAAGCACACTTAGATATATGAAAATCACATTGATAAAAATCACCTTGGTTAATACAAAAGCAGAGCTAACCTCCCTTCAACCCTTAGGCTTTCTAGTATTAATAATTGTGTGGAAATAGATTCTCCCTCTGTCAATCATAATGTCAAAAGACACAATCTCAAATGTTGAAATTCTGAAAGATCAAAATCTCTGAAGTCTAAAATTCCCAAAATCACAGCTGTGAAGTATTCAAATCCCAAATGCTGAAATTCTGAAAGCCAAAATCCAAAATAAAAAAATCTTACTGAAACAAAGGCTACATAAAAGGGATGGAAAGCCAGATTCCGGGGAAGAGATGAATGTTTCTGGCTAGCCACAGAATAGTTGCATCCTATTAGGAAGAATGAATACCTGGAAACGGGGAACAGCATTGTTTTGTATGTGTCTGTTTCCAGAGGAGATTAGTGTGTGAGTCTCAGTGGATTAAGGAGAGAAGATCTAGCCTCAGTGAGGGCACAGACTAGCCAATCTATAGTGGCTCAGAGGCAACAAATGCAGAAGGCAAATGGGTCTCCGAGAGCTGGGAAAGAATTTTTTCTGCTGCCTTGGACATAGATATGCCCAGCTTATCAGCCCTCAGGACTTAGGCCAGTGCCAGCCTCTGCCATCTCATTTTCTGTGCTATGTATTTCATCTCTGCATCATTTCCAATACAGTGTAAATTGCAGAAAGACTCAGAGCATTTTAATGTATTTTATGCATTTGTTGCACATTTTGACTTGCAGAAGTTCATTATCACAGTGTTGACTTTGTGTGTAAGCACTGTGCATGTGAAAACACTGAAACACTTTCAGTAGATAGATGTCTTTTTTTTGTAGATCTGCATATGTGAAATATAAAACTTTTGAGATCTTAGCTCTTTGTACAGATGCCTATGTTGTGATGACTCACCCTTGAGATTTTTGATCCATTTTTTTTTACAAAACTTAGGTTGTCTGTATTTCAGATGCCAGCAGATATAAAGTTGGGTGCATGCAATTTCCAACCATACTGATAGGTGATGATACATTTTGCTCTTTGATCTATTTTTATATCAGTATGGTTTGTCTGCTCATGACTGTTAACTGTACCTATGTGGCTGTCATTATTAATACACTTCAGTGTTTTTATTATTGCAAAAATATGTCACTATTGTTTATTTTATTGTGCAAAATGGTTTATGAAGTGTTCTGTCATATTTTTGTTTGTCAAGTCCCTTTTGATAAATATAAATGTTTGTTAAAGAATTTTAAAAATTATTTTGCCAGAATTTTATTTTCAAGATTTTAACCTTACAGTACTTTGGACATTAGGGATTTTAGACTTTGAGTATTTTAATCTTTTAGGATTTCAATATTTGGGACTATAGAGTTCATAATAGTGTCATTTGGCTCTGAACTGATCAGACTGTTTAAGGTAATTCTTTTTTTATTGAATTTATTAGTAGATTCTAGGTATACAGTACAGTTCCATTCATTACTGGGATCTTGTACCTTTTCATGACAGGTCTTGGTTCTCATTTTTTCCCCTTGTTTATGGTAATTCTTTGTGGAATGACTTTGTGAGAAGAATGATAATATTTTGCCATTTGCAAAAGGATTTTTTTTATTCTATCAACAAGTACTGCATTTTGGCATTATGGAGCTGTTGCTTAGTTTCTGACTTTATAACGGTATTTGAGAAATTACTTAAACCTCTCTAAGTTAAAGGAGGGTTTTTATTATTTTTTTATCATTTAGTTAAAATTTTAAGTATTAAATTTAACACAAGGAAAGTTTCTAGATTACTGTCTAGAATATGTCCTTTCATTGCCAGTCAAGCATTTACTGAAGCCCTGCTTTGCACCCATCATTAAGCTCAGCAAAGTTGGGGCTATGAGGCTGTTCTAAAATATAGTCCCTGTAATAAGTTACATTGTTTCTATACAAGAGACTACACCTTCCAGTTCTGTGGCCCAAGCTTGAATTCTGGCTCAGTAATCTCACCTGCAGCATTGCGTGTGTCTTCCACTAGCTCCTAGACTCGGACTTGGTGCTCCTCCAGTCCATTGGGTCAATCCCTGCTTTCCCCGGCTGTGCCCTGCTTTTCCCTTAGCCCTGGCACCTCAAACCACAGATTCAAAATTCTCCCTTCTCTCTGTTAGGCAGACCAAGGCAGGCAGTATATTAGCATGAAGCCACATGTTTTGACACTAGTGGCTTGATTCAGCTCTTTTCATAGCAATCTTGACAACCATTTTAATCCAAGAGACATTCCAAGTGAAGTAATGGTTAAGATTCCATTCTGGAGTCTGGGTGCAAAGCCAAGTCCTGGCATTTACTAGCTCTGTGACACTGGGCAATGATGTTTTAGAAGTGCACATTTGGCACGGCAAAGCCTAATAATAATTATCATCTAATAACTAATATCATAATGTATTTATTTGTGATGGAAAATATTATTTTGGAATAATGTTAGATCTGTAGATAAGTTGCAAAAAAATAGTACAAAATTCACATATGCCACCTCCCAGCCTCCCTTAATGGTAACGTTCTACATAATGAACTCTATTTATCTACCAAAATGAGCTAATAAACATTGGTCAATACTATTAAATTAATTTCTTGATTGAAATTAAAATGAAACATTTTTTCCTAGAATTTTTTCAACAGCTAATGCAGTACACAGAAGAATTCCGACACATGCCTCTGCTGAAACTCTGGATTGGGCCAGTGCCAATGATTGTCCTTTATCATGCAGAAAATGTGGAGGTGAGTATGTGGTAAATAAGACAGATATTTCACTTATATTGGATACTGTGAGAATACATGTAATAAATGTGCCCTTAAATTTTGTTTAGCTCAGCCCAAAGAGCGTTTCATTAAATGTTTTAGGTTATGTAGGCTCCATTTAATGCTTTCTAGATGTAGTGAGAATCCTGAGGAGCCTAAAACTCTCCATGTATCTTTGCACATCTGTAAGCTCTCGATATATTTATTCTCCTATTTTGGAAGGTCTCTAGAGGGATATGCCTTTTTAGAACTATCAGTAGATTATTCCATAAAGTTAGCACTTGTTATTCACCAGACACAGTTTTAAGATTTCACAATATGACTAATTAAATATGGTGCTTCCTTCATGGTGCTCAAGGTCTCATACAATAGCAATCAAATTTTTGTTATCTTACATTTAAAAGAGGATGCTAATGTAATGTTTGCAGAGTAGACATTATTAGTCCCTGCTGTTGAAATTAGTCCTAGAAAAGTTTATGTGCTTTGCATTTATTGTTGTACTGAGGAAACTATCTGGTAATATGATGAAGATTTGGATTTGGGTCAGGGAGTTTAAAAAAATGTGATAAGAGCTTCTTTGTATGGAACAAAATTAGAAACAGAATTTGTTGGCGGCTAGTACTGGGACAAGTATTTCTTGGTTGGTGTGATAGAAATATGGGAGCTTTTCTTGTACCACTCTCCAGAATACTAGTTCAGGGAAGATAATGAGGGGAACTAGGCATAGGATTCTGGCTGCTGTAGACCTACTGAAGTTGGTTTGGTGTCTTTCCAGAATGGAGGAAGCCTGGGGAGCATTCTGTACTCGACCTTAGATGTTCTTCCCTTCTACTTAGCTTTAACTCTCGGGAGTTCCATTCATTGTTTTCAGTGTTCGCTGTATTCTGGAGACACTCAAATATATTTTGCTCTAATTTAAATTTTTATCCCAAGCTTCATAATCTGCTTACAGACCATGGAAACCTTCATACCTGAAAATCAGCATACCTGAAGAGAATCTCATGATTTTTATCTTCCTAATGTGTTCCTCCTCCAGATTTCTCTACCCTCTTCTCTTCTCTCTGACCTTGTTTAACGTCTCTACTTGGCTCCTAATTCGTGGCAAGCATTGGGGAGTTATTTTCTTCTCAACTCTATTTAATTCCTCAAACTGAATGGAGCATATGTTCAAAACTCTGATTGGATTTCTTTGAGGCACAAGAATGAAAATTGAATTTCAGAGAAAATAAGGGTTATGTAATTCAAATATAGCTGTACACCAAGTAAGTTTTCCTAAAAATGAAGTTGTTTTGATGTCTGTATATGTCTCATTTTTCCCCTCTACCTAAGGTAATTTTAACTAGTTCGAAGCAAATTGACAAATCCTATGTGTACAAGTTCATGGAGCCATGGCTTGGCTTAGGACTTCTTACAAGGTAAGTCAGTGTACATTTATAGATGTCTCATAGTAGAAATAGTTACTACTTTGTGTAAATTGTTTTTTCGGGAATTGACAAAAGATAATTTTTCTGCAGCAAGAGTGCTCTCAGGAAGAAGGAAATAGGCTAGAAGGAGAGTTCCAGTTAACTGAGTCTTTGACAGACAGAGATTCAAAGTATATGGTCATCTCCAGCCATGGTATTCAATAGTGACCACCAATAATGCTCCAGAAAGAAATCAGGAGGTCTCAGTGTTCAAGTGCAGAAAAGCAAAATAGTATCTGGAGCAGGGAAATTTTGCAAAGCCAATGAGAAAATGCAGTCAACTTCAGAGAAGTATAATGAACACAGTGACTTCAAACCTGACCTGGCATCCAAAGATAGGACTGCATCTTCTGAGAGGTCCCAGCAAGAAAAAAGCAGGGACCTTATAAGGACTTTGGAGAATTCAGATACAATTAAAATAGAAGTAGTGTCATGGACCGTGTGGACATCCAAGAACTGAAGTATCAATGGGGAAAGAAAAAAGTCTTAATTTTATAAATGCAGAACCTATAAATGGAGAGAAATTCTTAAATTTGTCTACTTTATGGATGCTATTTTAGCTGTTAGTGTTATGGAACATTGTCTGAAATGTCTATATTTTTGTAAATACTTGTTAATGTTTTGCTGTTCTGACCAAAGCATTTGAGGACCTGCAGATAAAGCTGCTTTAGGGTTTTTCTGACTTAGCTACATTTGTACTTTATTTGTTTTGGGTGAGACTTCTTTTTTATTTGTAACCATGTGTTGTATTTCTAGTACTGGAATCAAATGGCGCTCTAGGAGAAAAATGTTAACGCCCACTTTCCATTTTACAATTCTGGAAGATTTCTTAGACGTCATGAATGAAAAAGCAAATATATTGGTTAATAAGCTTGAAAAACATGTTAACCAAGAGGCATTTAACTGCTTTTTTGATATCACTCTTTGTGCCTTGGATATAATTTGTGGTAAGTCTGATTGATTTGTATCTCATGTCATAGAATAAAGGTAAAATACACCAAATAGAAAATAACATTCCATTGGGAGGGGAAATGAAGAAATTGGAAAGGCCATGGAACTCAAGTTGATGCAACTGATAAGTCATCCACTGAGGAATAACAGCCACTCATAGGGCAGTGAGCAGTGCCCAGTAGGGGGAAGGTCCAAGAGAAGGAAGAGCAGGAGCAAAAAGTGGGAGAAGCAGCACATATAAGAAGAGCAAATAAAGGAGAAAAACAATTCTAAAATATAGCAGAGAGGACCAGGATTTTGCCTTTTCCAGTGTTTGGCACTGTAAAATAAGCAACAGTTATGTGCATGAATTGAAGAGTTGCTTCTCCTCCATATTTTATAGAAACAGCTATGGGGAAGAATATTGCTGCTCAAAGCAATGAAGATTCCAAGTATGTCCGTGCACTTTATAGGTAAATGGAATTCTTTCCAATAGTCTTTAAATTGTTGAGTTGGACTTTAAAATTTATTTTTCTGTGTTGTACCTTTGTATTATTTCAAAAGGAAGCATTAAACTAAAATTAAGCTCACGATTTCAGCATATACCTGGGCAGTGGAGGAATGGTTATATAAATTATGGTATATCTAGGTTATGCAGAAATTTTGAATTATTACTTTTTTATATACTGAGATTATATTATGATGTTGGTTAGGATGCTTATGATACCGATGAAAGAGATAAACAATTCTTGAAGTACAATAACCACTACTATATAAAACTACTAGTATTTGGTAGGAGGAATAAAAACCTACAGAAAAACAATACTAAAGTGTAAATCATTGTTCTGTGTATGAGTTTGTGTACCTTGCTGCATTTTTTAAATTTATTGATATTTACTTTCTCATATTTTCTATACAGGGTAGGTATTGTTTTTGTAACTGAAGCAATTGGTTTTACTTTAAAATTGCAGGCAATTATTCAGCAGAGCCAGGATTTGATTTGATGTGTCTCACCTTTAAATTTACTGTTCATTTCACTGCATTTTCACAAATATTTATTGTGCATCTCTAATACACCAGTAAGCACATACAATGTTAACTGATTTGATAGTGGTATCTAAAACATAATGACACAGGAGGCGAGCATTAGATCATCAAATATAAACTTAGAATTGTAATACTTAGGAAGAAAATAAAAACTGATAAAAAAAAAACAGGGATAGATTCTGTTCAGAAAATGTCTCTAAAAAACTGGCACCTAAGCCCATCCTGAAGGAGGTAATCATGTACAGAACTTTCTGTCTCATCATTGGGAATAGGAGGGAGTTGCTAGGAACAACCATGTAGAAGAGGGCATCCAGATTTTTGTCATCACATAGATGAGTGATCAGATGAATGGGTGTATCTTAAAAGGGGCTAAGCAGCCTTGGGAAGCTGAGAAGTCACCATAGATGAACAAGTATAGAGACTAGATGCCATCTATAAGGATGCTTTGTAGTGGGCTCTTCATTCCTCTGAAGAATCCATTATTTTTAAAGATATACTGGGTGTGTAACAGCTCATTCCTTCAGTTTGGCATTAAGCTTGAGAGACAAATCAGCCTCACTGACATGCATTACCTTCATTAAGCCTATGCACCAAATAGGTGCCCAGCAAATATACATTTCTAATGTAAAAGATGATGCATTTTTATTCTGTTTACAGGATGAGTGATAAGATTTTTCGAAGAATGAAGATGCCCTGGTTTTGGCTTGACACTTGGTACCTTATGTTTAAAGAAGGACGAGAACACAAAAGGGACCTAAAGATCCTACATACTTTTACCAAAAATGTAAGCCATTTTTCTTGTTACAGTAAAATGTACATAACAGAAATTCATCACTATAACCATTGGAAGTATATGATTCAGTGACATTTGAATACATTCACAGTGGTGTACAGGTATCATCACTTTTCCACAAATTTTTAAGCCCATGATTTTTGTTTCATCAATATACACAACATAAGACCATAAAGTCTGTGACCCATAAAATGAAAGTTAAATTAATGGAAAAAAATCAACGTAAAAAGTGATCAATATGATTAAATTTAAATTACGTATTCAACTAATACTAATTATGTGCCCACTAAGTGCCAAGCACTGTACCCAAAGTTGAGAAAAGAGTAATGAAGAAGATGTGTATGTTCTCTGCCTACCTAGTAGACCTTTCTAGTAGGGGAGATTATCCATAAATAAATTATAACAAAACATGATGCGGTCCGTGAGCATTTCATTGACAAATGGGGCTGTAGAAGAATAAGGAAGCAGAGATCTGGGTGTAAGAGTCTTCTGGGAAGTATTTGGAGTTGGCAATAGTTTTCAAGGCAAGAGGCGTTTAAAGCAGTGCATACCTTAGTTTAAAAAATATTTTACTAATATTTTATTTCCAAATCGAAAATAAGTAAGAGATAAGGATTTGGGTTTTAACATAATATACCGATGTTTTGGTTGAAAATACACATCAAATTACAACCTAAATATACTGAAAAGTGCCTACATGAATATATTCTTTCTTTACTGTAAACTTTGATTAAAATACATTGGAATTGCTTCCTCATGGTCGGGAAATAGTGGGAGAATAGCAAACAAGTTGTATTTTACAATTATGTTTTCTCTTAAATTTTAAGCATTAGTATTAATATCAATTAACAAATTCCAGACTAAATGGACAGTGTCATTCATTTTACATATATTGAAAATTGCATACTGAGACATAAGTAGAATGAGTTTCACAAAAAAGAAAAGATGATTTTATTTTACTTTTTGCCTTCGTGAGCTTAGAGTCTACTCATTCAAGCCACTTACCAGAAAGTTTTGCCAGTTGCCTGATAGGAAAAAAAAAAAAAAATGATTTTTTTTTCCTTTTTGCCTTCGTGAGCTTAGAGTCTACTCATTCAAGCCACTTACCAGAAAGTTTTGCCAGTTGCCTGATAGGAAAAAAAAAAAACAGTGAAATGTGTAATCAAATGCATAGACTTTTAATTGCTGTATTCATTCAACAAGTATCTAATGAGCATTCTTAAAATGCCAGTGGGTGCTCTGCAGTGTGAAAATATATCAAGGAACAGAAACGCATGTGCCACCACATGGTAGGTAGTGTTTGAGTTGGAGGAGAAAGATACTGAATAGGATATATAATGCTATGTCAGGTGTATGTGATGTGGAGAAAAAGGAGGCTTGGAAGATTGTGCTAGGGATTAGGGGAGCAGTGATCTGGCGAGTCTCTGAAATGGTGGCGCTGAGCAGATTTCTGAAGAGGGAAAGGAGCCTGCCATGCAGCCATCTAAGGCAAGAACACGCTAGGGGTACGAATGGCATAAAGTGTGGATGAATGAGTCACTTTGCTGTTTTTTTCTTTAATACAACACACAATAGTTAGGAGTCATCTATAATTAGTTTCTTACATAATGGTTGCATTTTTTTCTACCCCTTAAACTTTTTCTCATTTACTCATTCAAATCTCCAGGGTACTATTTAGTAGAGTAAGACTCTATTCCTACGAGAAAGATTACACAAATAGCACTTGGAAATTATGCATTTGTCTGATGTTAAATTTGTTTTTAAAAGTTTCATCAAACAATGCCTTAAATGTTAATAGGAGGCGTTCATGTATTTTCACAAGTGCCTAAATTGTCACGGAAATGGAAAGAACAGGAAGAGTTTTAGAAAAATTAAATTAAAAAAGAATATTTTCATAGAGAAATTGTCACTTGGGCCTTATCAACATCCACCAACCTCATGTGATTGTCACTTAAATCATACAGGTCATTCATGAAAGGATCAATGAAATGAAGGCAAATGAAGAAAGTAAAGGTGCTGACTCGGGTCCTGTCCTCTCCACAAAGAAGGGCAAGGCTTTTCTTGACTTACTTTTAAGTGTGACTGATGACGAAGGGAACAAGCTAAGTCCTGAAGAGATTCGAGAAGAAGTTGACACTTTCATGTTTGAGGTATTTTATATTTTGAGGTGATTTCTAGATACTATTAGCAAATTTTTCACCTTTGAGAGTAGCTTCAGGATAGAGCACTTACCTAGCACTGGAGAAGCCCTTCCATCTCCAGCACAGCAGAAACAAAAAACAGGTAAGTTCCAGTGTTGTTTAAAATGTTTAGCATAATTTTTAAAAAAATTTAACCAGTGTTAAAGTAGCACAGTTAACTGAGGAAGATTTATTATATTATCATCAGAAATTACAAAATTCAAGAACCTGAGTTCTTCAGTTGAAGGATCAACTTCCTTCTTCAGAACAAGATTTTAGCTTTTAGTGGCTACAGCACTATACACATTTTTTCTCAAAATCACATCTGTCAGATTTTCTCCAAGCAGAGGAGCAGCCAAAAATTGCTCTCAGTTCTCTGTATTGCTTCGTGCTTTCTTTTACTCTCCCAAACCCACAAGTCCATTAACTTCCTCTTTCTAAAGTTCTGACAAATGAGCACTTTAACTGCTGCTATGAGCTGCATTAGTCAAAAAGGATAGTAAGAATCCCACAATAAGCCAAGTTATATAATATCGAATGCTTGTAATCCCAGTGCTCTGGGAGTCTGAGCCAGGAAGATCACAAGTTGGAGCTTAACCTTGGCAACTAAGAGTCTTAATGAGACTCTGTCTCAAAACAAAAGAAAACAAAATAATAGTGTAACACTGGGGATGTTGCTCATTTTGAAGGCCCTGGGATCTGTCCCCAGCACTGCAATTAAAAAAACAAGAACAAAAACAAAACCTCCAACACAGAATCCAACTAGTTTGTGATTCTGAAAATATTTCTCCTTTAAGTAGAAGAAAGTAAAATGTGCCCATGTTTTCAGTGACTCATTGAGTGCTAAGCCTTGTGTTAACTGTTCCTCTTATAGCCATCTGGGTATAATATGACGGTTCATGCATTCTTTTAAAGTTAAATTTAATTTTTGATAATAATTGTGTGTATTTTTGAGGCATGAGGTGATGTTTTGATGCGCATACACTATGAAATGATAAAATCAGTTTAATGTGTCCAATATCCTCACATTTTATTGAAAACATTTAAAATTCACCCTTTTAGGGACTGGGAATTTAGTCAGTGTTTCTGCCGCTGCCTGCCTCAAAATCACAAGGTCCTAAATTCAATCCCTGGTACCAAAAAAAAAAAAAAAAAAAAAAAAAAAAAAAAAAGAAAGAAAGAAAAAAATCACCCTTTTAGCAATTTTGAGCTGTATAATATATTACTATCAATTATAATCACCAAGCTGTACCAAAATTTATTCTTCCTGTCTAACTGAAACTTTGTTTTCTTTGACAGTACCTCTCCGTTCCCATCTACCTCCCCACAGACAGCCTCTGGTAACAGCCATTCTAATCTCTGCTCCTGTTAAAAAACTTCAACTTTTTAAATTTCCATATATAAGTGAGACCATGTGGTATTTTTTTCTGTCCTGGCTTATTTCAATTTGGATAATATCCTCTAGATTCTTGTATGTTATCACAAATGACACATTCTTCTTTTCATAAAAGTTGAGTAGTACTTCATTATATTTACTCCCCATTTTAAAATTTAGTCATTTGTTGATGGCCGTTTTGTTTACGCAGTGTACGGGCTCAATGCAATTTCTATCAAAATTCCAATAACTTTTTTCAGAGAAATAAAAACAATTCTTTTTTTTTTTTGGTACTGGGGATTGAACTCAAGTCCTTGTGCTTGCAAGGCAGGCCACCGAACCGCTGAGCTAAATCCCCAGCCCTAAACAATTCTAAAATTATGTGGAACCACAGAAAAACCCCAGAAGGCTATTGCAATTCTGAATAAAAAGAACAAAACTAGAAGCACGTTATCTGACTTTAAACTATACTACAAAGCTATAGCAATCAAAATAGCACAGTAGTGACGTAAAAACAGACAAATAGACCAATGGAGTAAAAAAATCCAGAAATAAATCCATGAATTTATAACCAAATGATTTTCAATTAAAGTACCAAGCATGCATAATAGGGAGAGTCTACAATAAGTAGTCCTGGGAAAATTAAATGTCCACATGCAGATAAATAAAAATAGGTGACAATCTTCTCTTCCCTTATACAAGAATTAACTCAGAGCAGATTAATGATGTATTATGTAAGATATTAAACTTCAACAATACTAGAAGAAAAGAAGTAAGAGGAACATTTCCTGAGATTGGTCTGGGTAGTAGTTTCTTGGCTATGATCCAAAAGGAATAGTCAAGAAGCACAAATAGACAAATGAAGTTATGTCATGCATTCTTATTGAGTAAGGTTATTATTGAATAAAGTCGTGAACTGTGAGGCAAAATAAACCTCTCCTCCTTTAAGTTGCAGGTATCAAGTATTTTGTCCCATTGACAAGGAAGTGACTAAGACAGGTTCCAATCATTCCTGATCTATGTGTTAAAGAAAGAGATGAATTGAATCAGTGGTTTTAAACTTACTTGATAGGAGAGAACACTTTAATGAAAAAAAATCTTAAAACAAAAAATGGACATCTAATCTAGCTAAAAAGTAGAACAAATTCTGAGATCAAATCTCAGCCCTGACTTGTATGGCCTCAGCTACCTCATTTGACCTTTCTGAGTCTCAGTGTTCTTTTTCTCCTTTGTCTTTTACAATGCTGGGGATTGAACCCCTGAGCCCTATCCCCAACCCTACAATCTTACTTTAAGCCCTCAGAACAGTCGTGATGATTAGATTATTTTTTTCAAAGAACAATGAGGATCATACCTGATACATAGGAAACATACAGCAGATATTGGATACTATTATTTGATTTTGAAGTAGATTTTCTTATATCTTTATCCTGCCCAAGTTCTCACACATACTCACATACACATACATACACTCACATTAATACACAGGCACATGTGTGTGCATGCATGTCCGTCTCACCCATAATCTCTCATTCCCACAAAGATAGCCAGGCTAGTGATCTATTTCTTCTATCTTTAACATTCTTTGACATTATAATTATCTTCTTCTTTGACTAGAAGGCATACAATGTATAACTAATATTATGACCCCCTCCATCAGTTGGATGCGGCTAAGTTCAGGGTCTTTTATGTACCAGGTTCCAGACATTAGGTATTAAGCTATTGGCCATCCCCAGGCCAACAAATGTGCTCCATTTAACTCTTATTTTGTTAATTTGCCTTCTGCAGAGAACAGATGGAATAAAATACTGTAAGTTCCATATACTTCAAACCTGTACAAGTGGATCAGATTTCCACTCATAAATTTAAGAAAAACAATTAAAAATGATTTAGCAAGAGCATTTCCTTACATGACTTCATAAAGAACAGAGCAAAATGGCCTAGATCTCATCTAGAGTTAGAAGAGGGTCTATGAAGGAACTTAAGTAAGATGCCAATATTAGAGACTTGTAGACTATGCATTTTTAAAACTTACAGAATAAACCTCAAACAATTGAAAAGCTGTTTTACAAAACAAGGATGTGTGGAACATATTTTCCTAGAGAACAAAACATTGCAATGAGCTCTTACATTGTATAAGAAAATAGAAAAATGAGATCTTCCATGGAGGAGATAAGTGTTTCCCTTTTTGTACTGAAAGCCTTATTCTTAGAGACATGATACAATTACTGATTTTCATACACATTTTTTTTCCTGAAGAGCTTACCACTTTTGCACACAGAAAATTTCACCTAATGAGTAAAGATAGCAGATAAATAAAACCCAAAACATTGACTAGATGGAGAACAAGGCTATCTAGGCTGTGAATGTTTGTCATTGAGGGGGTCTCCTTACTGCAGGGTACTTCATGATTGTAGTGGGCAATAGCATGGGCTTTGTTTTGTTGTCATTCTGGAAATCATTTCCTACATTTACCTTCTACCAAGCTGTCTGGTCCTGGAGAAATTATTTGACATTTTAATTTGCCACATTTTTTTCCTCTACAATATAAATAGTATTAATGAGTATATCCTAGAGTTTTGTGGAGATTAATTGAATTTGCTTCTGCAAAGTACTTAGTATTTTGCCTAAAACTCAGCAAGCATCAACCAGGCCATCTATCAGCTCCTTGAGTTGGAGAATATTGCTCAGAATCACAGACATATGTATCCGAACCCTTGGTGCCCAGCATCAGCAGGTAAATTCTCTCTCACGGTTGAGGAAGATAGAGAACTACAGATATGGAAGTTGGCTCATGAAAGCCAGATATTCATCCCTTTTAGGAAGGTTTTGCTCACCAGGATCTCCTGGATGGTTTCCTTCATTAGCATAGTCCAGCAACTTCCTGCAAAATGTGCAACATGGAGAGGAATTAAGATGTCATTACTAAGGACAAGCCTCTGCTTTTTAAGAGATTGCTGTGTTTGTTTCTCACGGAGGTGAGATGCTGTACAGAAACAGTCTGTGTCCTGTAGTTAGGCTACAGCAGTCAAATTTGCAGACAATGCAAAAGAATTAATGTAGTCACTCCTGGTCTTCTCAATATATTTATGCTTTTTAAGCTACTTATTTTTAACATTTCTAGGGCCATGATACAACTGCATCTGCAATAAACTTGTCCTTATACCTATTGGGTTGGTATCCAGAAATCCAGAAGAAAGTGGACAGTGAACTGGATGAAGTGTTTGGTATGTTTGACCCTTTCACTGCTGAGATTGTAGATCACAAATGCATGGAAGCAAATATTATTCCTACTCATTAAGGGCGTGCAGGAGGACCTGATCGAAGGAACCTGTCAGAGGCAGGAAGTCGCCCATGCAGAGTCCTTTCCAGAACCTATTTTCTCTTCAAAGTCCTATCCATTCCCTTACAAGCATTTCCAGGCTCCTGATACATGACTGCCCTGGGCTAGATTCTGGGCATACACAGCTCCACGTGATTGACCCCAATGATCCAAGTGTTTAGTGGGTGAAATAGGCACATATACACAAAACTTCTCTTCATGGACCGTGTCCTTGTGTTACATAAAAAACATGCTGTTTGGAACACAGAGGAGCTGGAGAAGCTTTTAGAAGGGTAAAGAGAAGCTGTTTCACATGGGGACTATAGCTGACCACAAATGACAAAAGAAGGGGAAAACTGATCGGAGGTGAATTTCTGTTATACAATAAGCAATCTGGAGCGAGAATTTTAAAGATGTTCCAGTGTCCCAGACTTGCTCTTTCCTCTTTCCCATTGTTGGCATGTTAGCATTTGTCTCCTTGATTGTTGTTCTAAGCATCATTCTCATTTTCAAAGCAATAAGACAGGGGAGATGGGAATAAATTGTGCATTCATTTCCTATGGCAGCTATAAAAAATTTCACAAACTGGAAGGTTTAACAGAAATATATTCTCTCCTTTTTCATATTCTCTAGAAATCCAAAATCAGTATCACTAGGCCTAAATCAACATGTTCTCAGAGTTTCAATCCTTCTGGGAAAAAATTATCCCTTGCCTCTTAAACTTCTGGTAGCTGCTAACATCCCTTGGCTTATGGGTGCATGACCTCCTCCACATTGCCTTCTCGTGTGTGTGTGTGTGTGTGTCTATGTTATAAGGATACCTGATGGCATTCAGAGTCCACCTAGATGATTCAGAATAATCTCCGCATTTTAATAACTTCTGCAGAGTTCCTTTTACCAAATAAGGTAACATTCACAGGTTCCAGGAATTGAGACCTGGTATTTCAAAGGCCCATTATCAGGAGCTACTGCAAGATTCTACCATCAGTTGTAGCCTTTTTAAAATATCACGTGTCACGTGGGTCCCCATAGCCAGAAGGTGAAGAGGAAAAAAATTGGCTTAGATTGCCAACAGTGTGGTGTCTGATGCAGTTGCATAGAGAAAAGAAGTAAGAAAAGGAAAGGGGAGGGGAGGGGAGGGGAAGGGAAGGGAAGTAGAGGAGGAAAGCAAGGAAAACAGTAGCAGAGAAAAGGCATCTAGAAAGAGAGGAGCCAGAGGAACAATAGCACAGAAGTGGGAAGCTTTCTGGTTTCTAAAGCAGGAATGAACAGTGAGTTCCAGGACACTTGGCGCAGGATAGAACTCAGAGATGAGGCTGGAAAGACTTTGCATTCATACAGTGTGAAGACTGGAATTTCGTATCAAGAGGTAAGACTTTTATACAGTGGAGACACCTAAACCCGAGCTTCATTTCTGTAGTCATTTTATTTTTTTCCATATCAGTTTTACTTTCTTTTAAGGTATCTCAGGTTGGGTAAGTTTGGTTGTCTAAAAGCTCGAAAGTTCTTTTGAAATGGGTCGCATTTTTTATATCCGCCACAGTGTCTGTCTCACTGCCAGTTTCATGAATGTTGTTAATCTTGCATAATTAGTAACACAATCATTATTGCTAGAATCTTAGTTCTGCAACTTGTCATGATTTCTGCTTATTGTGCTTCCTTTTTTCTAATATATTACTCTTGAAGCTTTACATTTTTTAGATTAATCTTTTCTTATATTTTATCGGTTCATTTTAATATTTTTAGTTGAGGTAAATGTCACATAACATGAAGTTATACATTTTAAAATGAAAAATGTACTGGCATTTAGAACATTCACAATATGCTATTGTCATCTCTGATTCTAAAACATTTTTAGCACCCAAAAGGAAACCCTTTACCATTAAACAGTCGTTTCTCCTTCTCCATTCCCTCAGCCCCTGGTGACCATCTATTTAATTTCTGGCTTTATAAATGGAATCATATAATATATGACCTTTTGTTAGCATGTTTTCTCATTTTATTTGGATTATGCATAGTGTTAGAAGTTGTACTTTAGCTGTAGGTATTTAATATTAGACCTTTTGAGTCTTTTTTTGTTCTGATGCTTTCACACCTCCCCAAACCAAGAGAGTTCTTTTACTGTCATTTTATACACTTTCTTTAATCAGGGAAATCCAATCGTCCTGTGACTTTGGAAGACCTGAAGAAACTTAAATATCTGGAAGTTGTCATTAAGGAGTCCCTTCGCCTTTTTCCTCCTGTTCCTTTATTTGCCCGGCGACTTAATGAAGATTGTGAAGTGGGTAAGTGTTCTGTAGTCAGAATAATCAGGAGAGTGAATTTTATCACTAATGTCTGTCTTGTTTGGTTCTTATGACACGATGCTTCCTTCTTGCCAGCGGGTTACAAAGTTGTGAAAGGCACTGAAGCTATTATCGTTCCCTATGCATTGCATAGAGATCCAAGGTTCTTCCCAAATCCTGAGGAATTCCAGCCGGAACGGTTCTTTCCTGAAAACGCACAAGGACGCCATCCGTACTCATATGTGCCCTTCTCTGCTGGACCTAGGAACTGTATAGGTTTGTATCCACTGGAATTGGTTTCACCTCTCAGGCCCATATGATAGGGGGTTCCTCGTAAGAATCTCTTTAAGATGTGTTATGGGATGACCTGTCTTAAAAGTGCTGCTTCCCTTCTCCTCAACTTAAGAGTTTTTAAATATTACTGTCAGAAGGTATAGTGGTTTCCAAGGGCTGCCCTTACAGAGTACCCCATGCCGGGTGGCTTAAACAATAGAAATTCTTTTTTTCACAGTTTTGGAGGCTGAAGTGTCCTTAACAGTTGGTTCCTTTGAGGCTTCATTCTTTAGCTTGTAGGTGGCTGCCTTCTTCCTGTTTTTTTCACTTGGTCTTGGTGTGTGTGTGTGTGTGTGTGTGTGTGTGTGTGTGTGTGTTCTCATCATCCCTGCAGTGTTTGTGTGATGGTCCACCCCAGTAGTCTCATTTAATCTGAGTAAGGTTAACTTTAATATTAGCTAACTCTTTTCTCTTTTCTTTTTGAGTTACTGAATACAGAACCTACAGAGTGCTAAGCTTTATTCTCAGCCCTTTTTAATTTTTTGAAATAGAGTCTTGCTAAGTGCCCAAGCTGGCCTTGAGTTTGTGCTCTTCTTGCCTCAGCCTCTAGAGCAGCAGAGTTGTAAGGATTACAGGCAAGCACCGCCATCCTTGGTCATTAATTATCTTTTAAAGACTCCTCTATCTCCAGTATAATCAAAGTGTAAAATACCAGGAGTCAGAACATCCATATTTGAATTTTGGATGGGAATGCCTATAACATAAAGCGTACTCAGTATTACGGTACAGTTTTTAAAAGTTGTAGATTTGGGAATAAGGTAGAATATAATTTATTATGATAAGAATATGTGATTAGCTCTGTTTAACCCAATTTTTGTGTGTGCTTTTAATAATTGAATTTTGGCAAAACCAAAACAAAGCATGCTTGGCATATGGTTAGTTAAAGTATGTAAGCAAAATATATGCACATCACCATAGATTATAAGCACTTGACTTTAGAATCGCTAGCATCTTGTATTTATATGAATGTGGACATTAGTAAAATGAGGCCAGATTGAAATGAATGTATCTGAAGTATATTTAGTGACTCTACTGTAAATTAAAGAGCCACCCCCAATAAAGCACAGCATGAAATATTGATTCTCAACCTCGAATGAGCCCAGGATTCATCTGAGGTACAGATGTCCCTTGTGTCTCCAGGGGGTAGTTCCAGAACCTCCTGCAGATACCAAACTTGCCAATGCTCAAGTACATTTGCTGTAGTATTTCCATGTAACCTACACATGTCCTCCCATATACTTAAATGCCCCCCAAAATGTAAATGCTATGCTAATAGTTGTTATATTGCATTGTTTTGGGGAATAAAGAAAAAATTCTGTGCATCTTCAGTACAGATGGAAATTTTAAAAATTCTACCTTTGGTTGAATCTCCAGATGTGGAACTGTGGATCCAGAGGACTGACTGTCCTGCTCAAATGCAGATTCCTTGACCCACAGCATTATTCAGACACACTGTGTTGGAATAGAAAAGGGGACTCAAAAATCTTTATCTTTAGCCAACATCTCAAGTGGTCATGATTCTCTTAGGGCCCACATGAAAATATAAAGTAATTTGTTCCTGTAATAGGGGCTATGATTTCTCCCAGTTGAGTTGTATCTATGATTAAAATGATGATATTTACATTAATTTGAAGGTCAGAGGTTTGCTGTGATGGAAGAAAAGACCATTCTTTCCTATATCCTGAGATGGTTTTGGGTAGAATCCAGCCAGAAAAGAGAAGAACTTGGCCTCTCAGGAGAGTTGATTCTTCGACCAAATAATGGCATTTGGATTACACTGAAGAGGAGAAATTCAGATGAATCCCAACTCTGTACTCCAGCTGTGCCCTTATCATGAAAAAAGATCCTTGGAGAAGAGAAATAGGAAATTTATGATTTCTAGATCATGAGTTCAATATTCTGAATCAGCAGAGCTAATTGTTTCTTGTCCCCAATGATCTTGGGATCCAGTATATCAATCAGAGAGTTTTGAATTTTCATAACCACCATAGATGTTACGTTACACCTGATCTTGCCTTCCAGGGTACAATTAGCTGAGTCAGTACCAAAAGAAACATATAACAAGTTTCTCAACAGAGGGATCCACAGATCAATTCAATTTCATCTGATAGATTTAAAGTATATCATTTAATTGAAGCTCCAGAATATTTTAGTTATTCTGGTTGACTCTGGAATATATACAAGGGGTGAAACATATAGTGAATGTTTAGTTAAAACTATTACTCCCTGGGCTGAGGATGTAACTCAGTGGCACTCCCATCTGCCTGGCAAGCACAAGGTGCTGAGTTTGATCCCCAGTACTGGAAAAAAAAATATTACTCCTCTGCACATTGCCATTAATGACCCCTCAAAGTATTCTCTCTGACTTGAGAAACACTTATCCCATTGTTACCACTTTCTGAAGCAATTCTGTAAAGCCTCTTTCACATCTTCATGAGGTGTGATTCCAAAATGTGGTGAATTTGACTGCCATCCAATGGAAAAGCAGGCTCAGAATAACATTACTATGGGCCCTTGCCCACCTTATTTACCAGATCTGGCAAATCAAAATGGTCCTGAGTTCGATCCCCAGTAACCCCCCAAAATCAGTGACATTAGTTATGAGAATAATAATTATTACTGCATTTTTCAGATTTTATTATGTATAGCAGATCATTTACAAGTTAACTCAAATTCTGTTGCCATTTGACTGCACTTACTGTCTTTAAATTTCTATAGAATTATACTTAGCTTTATATGTCATATATTATTGAAAGATATTCTTCTTGGTAATCTCTATTTCTTCACAGTGACTCAGAATGTTGACTGATGGCTTTCAGAGATGGAATGATCTCAGAATTTATCTTATATTCTCTTATATTAGGAGTAAGGTAATGGAATCAACAAGAAGGTAAATTTCTAGACAACATCATCTACTAGTTGAGATTAGGCTGGACATGTAGGTCTGTATTCTAAGTATTTCCATTCTAATTATGATTTGCTTTCTACCACAATACACTATTATTGCATGGAACTTGGGTCTATGACTACATGTATTCTTAAAACTCAGAATTTCTGCCTTTGGTGTAGACATATTTCTTTTGGAATTTTTCCACCTTTAAGGTTACAAAGAAGCCACTCATTTATATTTAGTAAGCCAGTAGTATCTCCATTTAGTGTTGGATTTCCAGTCATTTCCATCCATGGAACATATGTGGTCAAACAGATAACTGTTGCACAGTCTTTGAATTGTAAATTGATACAAAGAGCCTCTACTTCTCACTCAGTGATGTTTTAAAACTTTCAGTAAGTAATTTTAAGAAGATAAGTTGCTTTTTCCAATTTCCCCAAGGCACTGGCCAGTAGAAGTAATGAATCAAGATGTATGTATGGATATCAAAGGAAAAGATGATAAAGCCAGAGCCATCTGACAAGCAGTGCAGCCTGGGGCCTTGAGGGTACTATCAACAGCAGTGCTCAATAACTCTCCAAAGCTGTATAGTGTGTATAACTAGTCCCTAAGTTGAAGACAGAAAGCTAAGGAAGTGAATGATGCACTTGGAAAAGATTCCCATCAAATGATTAACCTTCTGGAAAATGTATGTATGTATGTAGTAAATCTCATTCCCAGATAAATTTTGGGTAATAAAAGTTTTATTCAGGAAAGTTGATATTTAAACCTGACTTTCAATTTTTGTTAAACCTACATTAGACGTTAAATTTTCAGTAAAACATTGCTTCCTATTTTTTTTTACTTAAATATTCATTTAACCCCAGAATAATCTGTTACTCATATTTTAATTCACATAATCTGTGTCAGAGATGGAAATGATAAATTATATCATGCTCTATATTATCAAATATCTGTTTGTGTCCTAATTACCTGCCTTACTTAATGCTTGAAAGAGCTATCTCAAGAAAAATAAATTACATTTTAGACTTGGGTACTATGTTTATTCTAATAATGTATGTCAATTTGAAATATAACTTTAAAAGGTAAATTAGTGGCTACTCAGTGAAAAATAAAGGAAATACCACTTTGAGTTGAAGTCATCAGTGACACTCAGACTCTCTGCTAACCTGTTCCTTGTGCCTTTGTCATAGATTATGAATTTCCCTGACCTGACTGAGGAATAAAGAAGTAGAAACACCAGAGCATTTGGCTCACCTGACAGCAGAGAGTGAAATCATATAAGATCAAGCCTGGGAATCAGTAAAAGTGACTACTATGATTGGGACCCATGGATTTAGAGTTTAGAAACCTCACCAGATGGTGTACATTTTTTTATTGAGTTTATTGGTACAATCTAGGTATACAATACAGTTACATTTATTACTGGGATCCTGTTCCTTTACATGACAGGTCTTGGTTCTCATTTTTTCCCCTTGTCTCTGCCCTCCCTTCACCCCCTCCTCTCCTCCCCATTTACAAACACTTTATTTCCATTTTTTCATTTTCTCATGTTTTTTTTCTTTTCCCTTGTTCCCTTTCCCCTACCCTTCCCACTTCCCCTACACCTTTAGCCCTTTTCTTCCTATTTAACATTATTAATTATACCATTAGGATCTTGTGTGCTATTATAGTTTTTCACACCAGAGAAACTATTCGGTATTTACACCTGTGTGACTTATTTATTTCACTTAAGAGTATATCCTCAATATGTATTGAGATGCTATGCTACCCACGGTCATGAACAACCAGAGAATGTGAGTTTCTTTGACCTGTGTCACAATTACAAGATACCTATTACAAGAAGATCAGTTTTTTTTAAACCTGTAATTTTTCTAGAAGAATAAAATATCTTTGCAGCATCTAATGAGATGCCCAATTGGTATTTAAATTTTTCTCTAGTTTTCTCTAGTTTCTCTTAGTTTTGGGAACTATCCCATGATAAAGCCCCTTCTCTATGTTTTCCTCATCCTTCCATTTTCCCAGCATATACATTGATTTACACATGAGCTGCACGGATGTGGTTCACTTGGAACTTTCATGTTCTAAGGCATTCCACTTTCTCGGCTAATGTCGAGAGACCTACACAAAGTCAAACCACAGTTCTCCCCTTGGGGGTTCCCAGGTGGAACTCACAAAAACAGATGATTAATCTGCTTTGGTGAGAAGTTCAGGTCATGAGATTGATGGTGCAATGGCAAATGCAACGATGGTGATGAGCAGAGAGAGCAACGAGAAGAAAAGGTACTGGGGTAGGATGAATGTTCCAGGTGATGCTGAGCTTCAGCCACATGTCTATCCTGCCATGTTCAGTGGTTCCACCCCGCCTTGGAAGCCAGGAGCCAGTGGATGGCCATTGGGCTTAAGTGGATTGTCTTTAAGTTGTCAGCCAAAGTGATTTACTGATTGTCAGGTCAGGTGCTGAACGAAGAAAGGGGTCCTACTCTGAAGAGATGATCTTCAGTCTTTTCTCTCTTTGTGCTACTGTATAACTCTCCTTTATGCCAGGTTATTAGTACATGTGTCTACTAGCCTTTTAAGTGTAATGACATTTGAGAAAGTGTAGTTTCTTTTATACAGTAGAAAATTTAAAGGTAATGTGCTTTATTTTAGAATACTAAAATATTGCCAGGTTTGCTCTAACACAATCAATACCCAGACTAAGCAGTTCTTTCTCCCCCTGTAATTAAATCAGGCTCATTCGTGTTTTTCTCCTGGCTATCTACATTCCAAGTTTCAGTAACAAATCTCTCGCCTGTAGTTACTAACAATGGATTCATTGCATTCTCTCATCAAATTCTTATCCAGAAAGTCACCAAATGATTATTTAGTTGGGCTTTTTGGGCTAAATACAATTTTAAATTACCTGAAGTCTTTAGCTGTTTCCACTCCTGTTCTTTTTTTTTGTTTTGTTTTGTTTTGATACCGGGGATCGAACTCGGGTCCTTGTGCTTGCGAGGCAGGCCACCAAACCGCTGGGCTAAATCCCCAGCCCTCACTCCTGTTCTTTTGATTCTAGGATACATTTTTTTGGTACTGCCTTTCTGTTGTCCATAATTATATCTTCTTTCTACCTATCTGTCTTTGTTAGGGTTTATATGCATTGGTCCTTATCTTCTCTGATATTAATTTGTATTTCATCCAAATAGAAACTAAATATAAATTTATATAAAACATTTTAATATTTTTTCTTTTTCTATAAGGAACACAGTGAAGATTCTGTTAAGAAAAAAATGATCATATTTAGGCCTAATTATTTTATGCACAGAGCAGTTCATTTCCAGTTGTTTACTTTGAGGTATTCATAACTATGCTTTGGTTAATGGTAGATCACATATGCAATGGAGGTCCAGTGCTATAATGGTGAAGATGAAAAATCTCTATTGTGTCATGATGTAGCCCATTACAATGTCAGAGCACAAGGCATCACTCATGTGTTAATGGTGAGGCAGTTGCAAACAAATCTGCAGCACTGTCAGTACTATAAAGATCCTACAGCAGAATGATAAATGCTCTCTTACTGGTTGGTGCTTGACCTAGCTGTACAGCACAGTAGTAGAGTGTTTGCCAAGCATGCATGAGATCCTGGGTTTGATCTCCAGCACTGCAACAAACAAACAAGACAAAAGAAAGCTCACTGTAAAATTGTCTGCGGTGCCATGCTATTGTGTAGTGCTGGTGGCCACCTCAAACGTCTTACATTTACTCTAGCCACTGATTACATCATTTGCTCTTGTGCTTGATTTAATTTCATGTCGTTTTGTTCATCATAACGCTAAAATGCACACATACTATCTATCATCTATCTATCTATCTATCTTTCTCCCCTAGGTACGTGGTCTGTATCATCTAGTTATGGGTAAGTACATTTTATGACAAAAATCACCTGAGAACATATTTCTTAGACTGTCCCTGTCATTGTGAGCCATGACTGTATAGCTTAAAAGTATATGTTTTAGCTGAATGGCAGTGAAAAGGCACAGGAGTTTCCAGAAGGGAATTATTTTCTTAAACTATATTACACTTCCACACTAAGGTTTCTTTCTTTCTCGTCAATGTCAACTTTAAATTTTACACAGATGAATATGCAATAAATTAAGACTTTTTAAATGGACTTTTTCATATAGTAGTATTATCATAGAACTCTAATTGTACTTCCACTTTTTCAGCATTCTATGCCTTAATTGTTATCACCAACACTAATCTTTTTCACTGAGTTTATTGGTACTTTCTAGGTACATAGTACAGTAACTTTTTGATATTGTAACCAATGGTGTTTACTACTCAAAACAATGTTGTTTTTGAAAGCCAATGACTGCAGAGAATGACATCGGGGAGACATCCACTCCTACCAAGGACACTCACCAAACCCAAAGCCCCCTGTCTCAGCCTTTGTCCACAGATCCAGCCTCTGGGCCCACCCATAGCTCAGGCCAGCCCTGTAGCACCAAGCTCCATAGTGGAACCTGCATCCCAATGCCATGCTGGAGCCAGAATCCAAACTAGTTCTTGCAGCCTGGGACTCCAAGAGACCCAG